TCAATGAAAGCTGTGCGCGGCCCGCTCAGCTTCGACCGGAAGGGGCTCGCTCTCGACCCGCGGATCAAAAACGGCCCCGTCGTGCCCTCACACTCGCCTTGGCCACCCGTGCGGGGCGCCGGGCAGCAGCGAGGCCCCAGAGAAGTCCACGGGGTGGAGCGGTCGCCGTGGCCGCACAGGCCCAGACAGACGCATCTGCACTCCTTCGCGCGGAGCTGCGCGTCGGGGGGCGCCTCTCCTGCCCTTCCTCCCTCCTGCTTCCTCCCTCTCGTCCTGCCTGTTCCCGATCCTGGCTCGCACCAGGAGACCGCCTGACCTGCATGGGGGGAGAGGCCGACAGGCAGATGGCGGAGTTTGACGTGAACAACAGATACGGCGTCAGGGCCCTCCTGACCCTCTACTCGGATCCGGGGCCGCGCTCGACCAATCGTATATTCCTCCTCCTCCTCCTCTGCCACTTCCCCCTCTTTGCCCTTATGACAGTGGCTCTCCTCTTCCTCCTCCTCCGCCTTGTCTTCCCGGTCCTCCTCCTCCTCGCTCTGCTGCTCCTGTTCCCCCTTTCCCTCCTTCCTTTCCTGTTCACTGGTTGTCCTGGACTCCTTGGCTTGCCCAGTGTCTTTCTGTTACTGATCCTGCTGCTGTTCCTTCCGCTTCCACTTTTCCTCCCTCCCTCGTCCCTCATTCCTCGTCGTGGCCTTCCGTCCCTCCCTTCTCCTGCGCACCCTGAGTCTCGCCTCCTGTGATGACAAGCCTAGCTGTCCTCTCCTCTCCTCTCCTCTCCTCTCCGTTCCTCATTTCCCCTCTCCTCCCCCTCTCCTCCCCACATCTCCTCAGCAAGTACCCAATATGACTACTACTCCCCTCTCTCTCTCGCTCTCTCTGTCTCTCTCTCTCTCTCTCCCTTTCTCTCCATCTCTCTCTCTCTGTCCCTGTCTCTGTCTCTCTCTCTCTCTCTCTCCCTCTCCTTCTCCCCCTCTCTCTCCCCCTCTCTCTCTCTCTCTCCTGACTGCAGCTTGGAAGTGCCTCGTCCTCCCCACGTATCGTATTACACATGGTTTCAACAATTGATACGCTTATTTGTTTGTTCCTTCGGAGCGTTCTCGGTGCTCAGTGGTGCTCCCGCTGCAGTGCAAGCCTCTTTATTAGGGTCGGCGCTTTGCTCCCGTCGTTCAGAATGGCGCTCTTGCCCCAGCATGAACCACTTTTCTGGACCTGAGTCCTTCCTTATCGTTGCCTCCCCGCTCCATTCCCCTCCTCCTGTCCCTGCTCATCCTGCTCCCCCGCTCCTTCCACTTCTGCTCCTGCTGCTGCTGTTCCTCTTCGTCCTCCTCCTTCCTCATGGTCCTCCTCATCCTCCTGCTCATCTTTCTCCAAAGTACACAGCTCTCCTTACTAACTGTGCATAATACGATGGTGTCCTTTTAGGGGTTCCAGGAATATACCACTCGTCGGTTGATAGAGCAAAACTCAGCGCGGTGATAATGAATGGATGGGTGGCGTAGCCTGTCAGAAATTGCGCGAGCGCACCTACCTTGCCTCTCCCCTCCCCTCCCCTCCTCCACTCGTCTCTTCTCGTCTGTCCCGCCCTTTATCCCCACTACGCACTTTGCCCCTCTCCGCTCCGCCCCCCCATCCCCCTCTCCAACTTCCTCCTCCTCCTCCTCCTCCTCCTCCTCCTCCTACTTGTGATCCTCCTTGGGATCCTCTTTTCGTTCCTCCTGCTCCTGCTCCTGCTCCCCATGCTGAAGCTCATGATCGTCGTTCTATCCCTCTTCCGCCTCCTCCGCTGCTTCCTCCATCTCATGTTCTTGCTCCTGCCTCCCCTGCTGATGCTGCTGCTCCTCCTCCCTCTCTCTCTCCGTCCTGCCTCTCCTCCTGCTGTGTCTGCTGCTCCTGTTTCCACCTGCCTACATGCTTACCACCGCCTCCCTCCTTCTGCTCGTCGTGTCGTCGTCGTCGTCGTCGTCGTCGTCGTCGTCGTCGTCGTCGTCTTTCCTCCTCCTCCTCCTCCACCTCCTCCTCCTTCTTCTCCTCCGCCTCCTCCTCCTCCTCCTCCTCTTCCTCCCTCTTCATTCTTCTCCTGTTTGCATCTGTTTACCCTGCTTCCTGACCCTAGTCTCGGACGACTACTCCACTTGCACGGTGCATTTTGCACTCGGTGGTCCTGGATCCGCCACCTGATTTAACAGGCGCCTCGCTCGGCCGATCCCTCGCCCTCGCACCCCCAGCAAGACCACACTGCGCAGCCGCCGATCCCGGTCAGTCCCGTGCGGCCCTCCCTTCGCACGACTCCCCTCCGAGCCTCTGCCCGCCGACGCAGCTCGCGTTGGTCCACATGGTTGGAGCGCGCGCCCCTCCCTGTTACCCTTTCCCAGTGGCCGCCCCTCCCCTTGCTTCTCCCCCTGTGCGCAGTGTGTTCTCGTAGCCCGGCTTCCGCTCAGACCACGCGGAGCGACCGCCAGCGCTGCGACCAGCACGGTCATCCGGTTCCCCGTGTTGCTGTTCCTTCCCTCCTGCTCTCTGCTCCTCCCCCCTCATCTTATCCTTGTCCTCGTCATCGTTATCCTCCTTCTCCTCAATGTCCTTCTCCTCTACCTTAAGCTCCTCCTCCTCCTCCTCCTCCTTCTCCTCCCTTGCATTTCTCCTCCCCTTCCTCCGCCTCCGCCTCCGTCTCCGCCTCGTCCCCATCATTATCCTTACTTCCTATGATGAAACACCACCACATCCCCACCTAGCCGGCCGATAGCAACCCCGCCGTCTAAAAAACAGCACAGACTCAATTTTTTCCCCCGCCAACATGTCGTCGAGTTGCGAAAAGTGTAGCAGGAATGGGGCGGAATGAACATCGCTCGGGTAACCCTAAGCGGGTGGTCGCGTCCCACCCATGAAAAAAACAATACAAAGTCAACGTCTTTCTCGTCAACATGGACTTTCTTGTCGTCGGCGCTGCGAGAAGTGTAGCAGGAATGGGACGCGGCGCACATCGCACGCGGACGCCCGACCAACCCTACGCGGGACCCCCCGTCCTGCCTGTCAAAAAATTCAGCAACATCGACGTTTTATTTGCCAACATGTACTTTCTCCTCGTTGGCGCTGCGAATCGCGTACCAGGAATGGGACGCGGCGCGCATCGCGCGGGGACGCCTGCTCGTCAACATGGACTTTCTTGTCGTCGACGCTGCGGCCCGTCGGGTTGAGGAGCTGGGCGGGCGGCAAGTCATAATGCCTCAAGCAAGTGCGGTTCGCCGCTGGCGCGCTCGTTGTCGTGTCCACGTAAGAGAGACATTTGGCAACAGTGACCTTTGGTGCGCACAAATCAAACCCAAATCGACTCCCGGACCCCTCCGGCCGCGGCCGCGGCCGCGCGCTGGACATGTTGTCGCCGACGATGCAACATGAGAGGCCAGAGCGGGGCGCGGCGGGCGTACATCGCGCGCGGTCTTGTTTCTCGTCGACGTTGCTCAACACGCGGCAGGAATAGGACGCAGCTCATGTCGCGCGCTTGACGTCTAGCCGCTCACGATATAAGATGAACGGCGGGCGTCGGACGCGACGCACTTGCTTCTTATGTTGTGGGAGGGCGGGTGGGAGTGGACGGAGCCGTCTGGTTCGTTCGAGCTGGCTAACTTGATCCTTCCCTCACCCCCTCCCCGCTCCGCCCCTCGCGCTCCCCCAATCACTTCGTGGCCGCTTCCGCCCCGCTCAGTGCCTCGCATGACGGAGTAGGTCCGCAAGGCCCTCTGTCAGGGTCCGGGGCCCAACGAGGGCTCGCCTGGCCAGGCTCATGGCATGAGTCGGCGAGGGGCGTCGCGCGAGGCTGGGGACAGCCCCCCCGGGGCCAGCCCCCCCCCCCGCCCGGTTGGGCCTGCCCGAAGGTGGGGCCCGGGCGGGTGCCGGCAGGCCAGGATCGCGCGGGGGGCGCCAGGACACCACGACTGCGCAGGGGACCATGGCGGAGCTTCTCGGCCTGTACAAGGACCTGCCGTTCATCGGTGACGCGGGCGAAGGTGACGGCCGAGCCATTGAACGGGGCGGTGGGACAGGAATATGACTACAGTGGAGGCCCATGCCAAGACGCACCCTGCTTACCTACAGGGTGCCTGTCGTTGGTTGGGTTTCGATGGTTTTGCGAAGAGAAGCGTGACGTTCCCATACCAGAAATCAAGGGACGTCCTGGGGTCTTAGGGTTGGGCTTCTTGTGGAAAGCTTCTTGTGGTCGGGCCCCTACTGTATGATCAGGCTTGGAGGGCTTTCGTTCCGTGCCGTGGTGTATGCCGCTTGGGGCAGCAAGCCGGGATGCTCGGGGAGAGGGGGTCTTCGCCGCACGCGGAAGCTGACCCTCGTGGAGGCTTCGCGGGGCCCGTCGATGCTGACTTTAAGTCGGGCGCGTCCCCTTACAGGGGGAGTGTTCAACAATAGTCAAGAGATAGTCTGGGGACGATTATTTTTGGATTATTTTCCGATTATTCTCATTGTGTGTTCCTGACAGTTTTTCATTGTTCTTCCAACACTACCTATAGGAGGACATGGCCGACCGAATGCTGACTTGCAGTTCGCTCGTTCTTGAATCATTGACCGTGCTACCAGCGGGTTTCTGTGCGTTTTTCGGTCAGCTTCACGAGTCCGCGATTACGGCCATGCAGGCCGCGTCAGTCCGCCGCACCCACAGATGAGCCCGCTTCCTTCTCTGCCTCCCCGCACGGTCCATGTCGATCCGATCGATCCGATTCGATATTGACTGCTGGCTGGACCCGATTCGACCTTGACGCTCCGTCGAGCCGATGCGGCCCGATGCTCGCGTGGGCGATGCTGTGCATCCTAGCGCGACCGGACCCTGCAGCTGCGCCGATCACTTGACATCCCCACGACCTCGCCTCGGCCCAGCGTTTTTCAGGAGGAAAAGAAACACACAGACACAATTAATCTTCGATTTCCCAGAAAATATGGGAAAATATGGGAAGTGGGGGGGGAGGCAGAAACCCAGAAAATATGGGAAAATATGGGGAATATATTTATTTGTGTGCCCCAGGGGTCCTTCAGTTTTCTCTGGCAGCGCCCGGTAGGCTTGCCCAGCTTCTCTTCCCCTCGGCACGCAGTGCTGGGCCGGCAAGGCCAGCCCAGCGTTTGCCCCAGAGTTTTCGCCCTCTAGCTGGCCCAGTTCTCTGGGGCGATCCTTCCCTGCATCACAGCCGTGGCCGTGTTTGATGTCGGCTCCGTGCCGATGCGCGAGGCGCGGCCCGGGCCGACGCACGCTCCGACCTGGGCCGACTCTCCCGATCCGATGCCAGCCAGTCCTGCCGCGGTGCGGCCTTTCTGTCGTCGGATCCCTGGGCGGCGACCTGGTTGGGAGGGCCCAGGGCTCGCGCATTGCTGGTAGGCGGCGAGTCGTCCTCGCGGCCACGGCGGTGGCAATGCCTACGCCGGGGGACTGCTTTCGGCTGAAGCTGGGTGCCCCCTCCTGGGATGTCCCTGGGGGCCTCTCTTTCTTGTGCTTTTCTGCCTTCGCAGCTCAGGGTCTTGCGTGGCAAGCCGAACATGACAATTGAGAGGTGGGGGCCTAGGCCACAAAGGTTGTGCACTCGATGCACGCTGCTGGGGTGAGTGCTCCAGCCTGGAGTGACGTCCGTGCGACATCATGGAAGCAGCCAGCCATGGCTAAGAGCCTAGACGCCCTAACGTCAGCGCCTGGCTAATGAGCCTGAAGGATGCGCGCTGACGCCGAGCTCTGGGAGCATCCTGAAAGGCTCCTTTCGGGGGTATCCAGAGGCCTCTCCAGGAACATTTCCATGCGCCCGTTTGCCACCGACGGGATGTGATCAAAATCGGTGCCTATTTCTGGTCCAAGTGTCGCGCCCTTTCGATGCTCAAAGGTGGGACCGAGACTTCTGATCCAAGTGTCGCCCCCCCTTCGCGCAGAGGAGGGACTGGATTTTCTGATCCAAGCGTCGTCCGACTCCCGCGCTCACATGATGGTCCAATATTTTTGTTCCATGTGTCGAGTGTGCCGTTTCGGCGCTCAAGGGCATGGCCGTAATTTCTGGTCCAAGTGTCGCCCCCACCCCGCGCTCAAAAGAGGGGCTTGGATTTTTGGTCCATGCGTCGCGCTTCTCGGCGTTCCGACGAGGCGCTGGTATTTCCTTGGTCGAGACGCCCCCCTCTCCTGCGCTCAAAGACGGAGCCATGATTTTCGTTCCCAGTGCTGCGCCCCCCCTGGCTCCAGCGTGGGCGAGGAGGCAGCTGCGAGGTCAAGGGCACGCGAGCCTCGGTGCCGAGTGTCGCGCCCCTTTTGGTCCCCAGTGCATGCGAGGAGGCAGCAACCAGGTCAGGGGGCACGCGCGGCGCTGCAAGGGCCTCGCCTCCGGCGCGCCGCCGCCTCGCGGCGGCCGGCGGAGGGCGGGCGGAGGGGCCGGCGGAAAAGCACAGCGGCGACGGGGCCCGCCGGCGGAAGGCGGGCGAAGGCGGGCGGACGGGGGCGGGAGTCGGCGGTTCAGAGATGGGGTCCTGAGGGAGGAGGAGGAGGAGGAGGAGGAGGAGGAGGAGAGAGGAGGAGGAAGGAGGAGGAGAGGAGGAGGAGGAGGGGGCGAGGAGGAGGGCGGCAGGAAGGGTGGAAGCAGGCGGAGGCAGGAGGCGGAGGCGGAGGAGGGCAGGAGGGAGGGAGGAGGAGGAGGGGAGGAGGAGGAGGAGAGGAGGAGGAGGAGGAGGAGGAGGAGGGAGGAGGAGGAGAGGAGGAGGGGCGTAGGGGAGAGGAGGAGGAGGAGGAGGAGGAGGAGAGAGGAGGAGGAGGAGGAGCAGGATAGGAGGAGGAGGAGGTGGGAGGAGGAGGAGAGAAGGAGGAGGAGGAGAGGAGGAGGAGAGGAGGGAGGGGGGAGGGGGCAGGAGGAGGAGGAGGAGGAGGAGAGGAGGGAGGGAGGAGGAGGAGGAAGGAGGAGGAGGAGGAGGAGGAGGAGAGGAGGAGGAGGCAGGAGGAGGAGGAGGTGGAGGGGAGGAGGAGGAGGTGGAGAGGAAGAGGAGGAGGAGGAGGCGGAGGCGGAGGCGGAGGCGAGAGGAGGAGGAGGCGGAGGAGGGAAGGTGGAAGAGGCGGAGGCGGAGGCGGAGCGGGGCGAGAGGCGGAGGCGGCGGGCGGAGGCGGAGAGGCGGAGGCGGAGGCGGAGGTGGAGGCGGAGGCGGAGGAGGAGGAGGAGGACGAGGAGGAGGAGGAGGGGGAGGAGGAGGAAGAGGAGAAGCAGATGGAGGAGGAGGAGGAGGAGGAGGAGGAGGAGGCGGAGGCGGAGGCGGAGGCGGAGGAGTATGAGTATGAGTATGAGTATGACCATGTGACAGAGTCAACTGTGCCGACATTACGTGACGAATTACACATGAAGGCATGACTGAACACGACCACGGCGAGGAGGAGGAGGAGGAGGAGGAGGAGGAGGAGGAGGAGGTCCAAAGGACAGGAAGGGCTCCAGGAGTACATTTGCATCGTTCGAGGCACCTCGTTCTCGGGGCCCCATGCCTCGGGGCCCCATCTTTGGGCCACCGAGGAGGAGTGCAGTTGGACCGAGGCATGAGGCCGTGGTCGGTTCGGGGAGGGTGCCCTCGGGTTCGTCGTGCTTGCTGGGTGTTCTTTGTGCCTTCTGGGGGAGGGCGCCCTCGTATGCCTTTCCTCTTTGGCTGGCGGAGGGTCCCATGCTCTTGAGGGGTGTTCTTCTGGCCTGGGTCCGACTTTCAACGTGAGACGTCAACATTCCTGGATTCTGTCGGCGGCGAGCCCGGGGGGAAGTGAGAAGGTGCGGGCCTTCTCAGAAGGCTCCGACGCCCCCTGGCCTCCCGAGACGTTTTTGAGGCCTTCCCCGAAGACGCAGCACACTTCTCAGAAGGCCGGAGGCCTCCCGAGAAGCCCCGCCGCATTCCTGTGAGGCCTTCTCCTGCTCACTTTCCCCCCCCTCGCTCACCGCCGTTTCTGGGCTGCGGGCCCGCGCGCCCTTCCGCCGCCGCCTCTGGGCTCGGGCCCAGCTCCCTCCGCACTCCCCGGGCGCGGTGCCGGCGCCCCGTGCCGGCGCCCCCCCGCTCTTGACAGTGGCACGGTGGGCGCCCGCCCGCCGCCGAGAAAGGCGCCGACCTGCAGGCGGGTGGCCCGTGGAGCTTTCTGGCTCCCCCCGGCGGTGCTGTGCACCCAAACGGGTCTCGGGGGTCCCCAGACGGGGTGGTGGCCACACCGTGCGGTGAGTCGGTGGGGGTTTCGGGGTCACCGCACGGTTCTGGGACTCGGGTCCCTCTCCGAGGATGTCTCGGGCGAAAGGGGCCTCCAGGTTCCCAAGACCCTGCGGTGACGGACCGTGCGGTGAGGTCTCTTGGGGTGCCGAGGTCACCGCACGGTCTGTCACCGCACCGTTTCGGGACTCCAAAGGGTCGGGAGCCTTGAGACGGGGGTCAATGCAAACAGGGGTCAGCCAGAGCGCCCGATCTTGCAGGATCCTGCAGGGCCAGGGTCGGATCGACCCGGGTCTGGGTGCAGGATCCTGCAGGACCCTGCAGGATCCTTCGCATTGGCCTGGGTTTGGGTGCAGGATTTTGCAGGATTCTGCGAGCCTGGCTGACCCGGGTCTGGATTGACCCGGGTCAGAAGATCCCCGAACGGGAGTTACGTGGCATCCGCGTCTCCCCAACATGCTAGCATTGTGTGTGCGTCGTCTCCCTTCAGGGGCGACGCGCGCACCGAGACGTCTCGTAGTATTTGCGTCGTGGCGGGCGCTTTCTGGCCGCACCGCTCGAGAAACGATGCGCTGCAAGATGGGTAGATCATATGTTCGGGTCGGACGCGCGCGCCTCCAAGGAGAACATATGTCTGGAGGGAAAGAAACACACAGACACAATTAATCGTCGACTCCCAGGAAAATATGGGAAAATATGGGAAGTGGGGGGGAAGACGAATACCCAGAAAAGATGGGAAAATATGTGGAATATTGTAAGTTGTCTCCATTTATTTGTGTGTCCCTGGGCCCCTCCAGTATATATATATATATACATGTATATACATATATATATATATAATTGTGGTGCTGGTATGTCTTTGTGCGTCCCGTGGCAGCCCGTCAGGCTTTTATATATATACATATATGAGATCGGCCGAACACGCCCCCCCTCCGAGATTTTCCAGGCCTCCCAGATAGGGCCGGAGCAGATGGGGTCGGAGGATCGCGCCGCATCGCCGCTGCATCGGCGATGCGGCTCGATGTGGGGCCCGATCCTCTCCACGCCGACGTCGCAGATGCATCGCCGATGCATGGGCGACGCATCGCCGATGTGTTGGCGATGCGGCGCGATCCTCCGACCCCACCTGCTCCGACCCCATCTGGGAGGCCTCGTAGGTTTCCGTTCGCGAGGAGAGGCCCGCAGGCCCGCCGCCGCCGCTGCGGCACGCGCCCAGAGCTGAGCAGCGCACGAGCACCAGCTCGTGGCTGACGCTGGGCGGTCCCGTCCGTAGACGTCCAGGGGCTCGGAAGCTTCGGCGCTCGGGGAGTCGTGCTCCTCCTCCTCCTCCTCCTCCTCCTGCTCACTTTCTGCCCCTCGTCCTCTTCCCCCTCCCCCTCATCCTCTTCCCCTCCCCCTCCTCTTCTTCCTCCTCCTCCTCCTCGTCCTCCATGCCTGATTCCTCCTCCTCGTCTTCCTCCTCCTCCATCCATCCTGCTTCCCCTCCTCCTCTGCGGATCTACGGGCCCCCCAGCCTCCACCTGCACGCGCCAGTGTGTGCCTGGTGGGCGTGGGTAGCGGGCGCCGCAGGGGCGGGCACGGGCGGAGAGGCACCCGTCCGGAGCCACGTGTCTCGCGCAGGGGAGGAGGGCGGGGCGGGCCTCGCCCCAGCGTGCGCCAGTCTTCTGCTGTTGGCGAAAAGCAGTAGTATTGTCATATATAAGAAAGCTACGAAGCTGTTTCCAAAGCGTATATGGTAAACATGTGCTATAACAGACACATCGCGTCCATGCCTGGCTCACACATCCTCTTGGTGTGCAGCGGTCTGCCCGCAGCGAGAGCCACTGCCCGCAACGGGCAGGAGCGCCTGCTGCTGGGCGCGGCGCGGCTCCGGAGGGGGCCGCGCGGGGGGGCGCAGACCGAAGCACACGGCTGCGCCGCATTGGACGGCCAGCAGGCCGTGCACCGGAGGCCGCTCTCGCCAACGGGCAGGAGCGGTTGCCCAGCACGTCGCGCGGCCAGTTCTGGCCCACCACGAAGGCTGCGGCGCCCCACGCTGAGCACGTCCCAGACCCCAGGCAGCAGCGCTCCGAGCTCTGCCCGGCATCCTGCCCATGGAGGCAGCGCCTCGCGCAGTGAGCCTGCGAGGAGTGGTTTGTATCAGAAGCTGAGCAGAAGCGACAGGCCATGGAGCAGTTGCTGACCGTATTCCGTAAGTGCTAAAAGTCCGACGACAAGATCTATACACTTCCACCGCTACCGGTTAGGCTGAAGTCGGACATGTCCCTCTACAGGAGGAATACGCAATAATAGTCAAGACATAACATGGCGACGTTTTTTTTGTGTGCTTTGAAATATGTTTGGGCATTTGTTGGATAATGTTAATTTTCTTCCAAAATCCGCTTGTTGGAGGACGTGCCCGAGCTAAGGTTAGGCGGCCTAACCTTAGCTCGGGCACGTTTTCCATCCTGTGCCCAGGATGGGTCTAACTTAGGCCTATCCTGTGCCCAGGCTGGGCCTCGTCAGGGGCGGTGGATGTGAACACACTGAGCACGTCAAGCAACAAGCCGGCTTCCCAGTAGGTGTCCTACTTCGGGGCTCAAGAGACGGGTGTCAATGCAAACGGGGGTCATCCAGAGCGCTGGATTTTGCAGGATTCTTCAGAGCCAGGGTCGCATTGACTTGGGTTTGGGTACAGGATCCTACAGAATCCTGCAGGTATTTGCAGGATTTTGTGAAGCCTGACTGGCCCGGGTCTGGATTGACTCAGGTCAGTAGATCCCCGACCACGGAAGTTTCTCATTCCCGATGGCCGTGGGGTCCCATCCAAGCCCTTGGGGCACCTCAGCAAACTCAAAGCTCGGCGACGAGCGTGGCCCTAGGCTTCTTATAGCAAGACGCATGGTCGCACGTGTCTGCTGCAGATCCTGTCGCCCTGGAAAGCTGCTGTGGGCGTGCCGTGCCGTGCCATGGCGTACCTGCTGATGAATGCGCAGAAGTTGCCGTGCCGTGCCGACCTTGCGTCTCATCATGCCGCGTGGGTGTCATGGCGCAAACATCGCAGACCGGATTTCGTTCGGAAAACATTGGGATGGACCCGGACTGTCCTGGATGATTTCGCTCCAGATTTCGAGGTGAGTTTCGTGCGGATTTTCTCTGGCCAGGAGTGAAGACTAAAACAAATCCACGCGACATTCACATCGTTTTTCGCTCGGGTTGTCGCAGTGGGAGAGAAATCCACGCAGAAATCCGCTGCAGCACGCCTGCAAGGCCGGTGCAAGGCTGGGTGCTCTGGGCCTATGTGCCAGCTCTCTGTGCAGATCTCGCCGCCCCGAAGAGCTGCTAATGGGGTGGGCGGCGGAGGCGAAGCCACCGGCCGGTGGCGCACCTGGGAGGACTTCCGCGGGGCGGTGAGCCAGGCGCGCGCCGGCGCTCTCGCTCAGGGCGGCCCTGACTCCGGATCCGCCGTACTTTGGCTCTTTTTCCAACTTGAAATTGCGTCGGAAATCCACCTAGAAGAGGCCGAACAAGTAAGGCGGAAATTTCTACACCCAACATCAAGTAGGGCGGAAATCCACAGAAACAGGGCGGAAACAGCAGCAGAAAAGTAGGGCGGAAATTGGCATCAGCGGGGCTTGAAAAGTAAGGCGGAAATTGCAAGCCCTACTTACGAATTTCCCCAAAGTAGGGCGGATCCGGAGTCAGGGGGGGGGGGAGGAGCACGCGTCCGCCTCCTGTGGCGTGTGCGTGCAGTCACCTGGAGGGGCGTTGGCCCACGTTCGGGCGATCGCAGACATGGATCCAGGGGGCGTGGACTCGCGGCGGGTCCCGTTCCCGTGGGGAAGTGCGGATCTCCGCCGCCGCCGCGGGGCGGCACCGGCCGCACTCTGGGGAGGGCACCTCCCCCGATCCATGGATTTGGCGACCGCGCGCCAAGTCCGTGGATCGCGAATCCATGCCTGCGCGCGACCGACACGTGGGCCCCACTGCCACCTCGTCGCTGGGCCTCTGCGAACGATCAAGGCCTGCGGCTCGGCGAGGAGCGGAGCCGCTTTTTCAGATGCCACCGTTTTTCGCTCGTGCCGTGCCCCCGGGGCCTCCTGCCGACACCTCGTGGCCGAGCCTTCGGCGCGTGGCGGCTGGCCGCCAGCTGCGGGCGCATGTCGTCCGCTCCCATTCTTCAGGAGGGAAAGAAACACACAGACACAATTCATCGTCGATTCCCCAGAAAATATGTGGAAATATGGAAAGTGGGGGGGAAGACAAAACCCCAGAAAATATAGGAAAATATGGGTAATCTTGTTACTTTTGTGTATTTATTGCGAAAGCCTTACGGCCGGTGCCGCCGACCCTGAATGGCGACGACGACGACGACGACGACGACGACGACGACGACGACGAGCGCTCTTGGGGGCCTCTTGGGGGTAGTTTGTGGGCCTCTTGGGAAGCTCTCAGGTACCGCTTGGAAGCCTCGTGGGGGCCTCTTGGGGCTTCGTGGGGGTCTCTTGGAGGGGGCCTGGGACGTCTTGGAGGCTTCTTGGACGGTCTTGGGGCTATCGTGGGCGTTTTCGGCCGATCTTTGGGCGACTCGGGGCCCTCTTGGGCCGTCTCGGGGGCCATCTTGGGCATTCGGACCTCATTTGGAGTGTTTTCGAGGTTTCTAGGCCGCCCGAGGGAAAACGAATCTGCCCCCCCACCCCCCCCGGGACACCCCCCGGCCCGGGACCCCCCCCGGGACCCCCCCGGACCCCCCCCCCTGGGGAAGGGATCGAAGGGAAGGGGCTTCCCTTCGACTCGATTACGACACTGCTAGATTTTTCTCTCGCTCACGAGCTTGAGAAGGAAGCTGCAGGGAAATGGGGCGACGGAGGCGACGACCGACGGAGACGACGACTCGAACAGCCAAGCCCCTCGCACACGCCGGCGGATTTGTGTGTCCTGGGGCCCCTTCAATTCTCTTCCCCCCCAACAAAAATTAAAGAAGACTGCGGCTTGGCGTGTCGCTCCGCCGGTTCTGGTCCACAACGTCTGGGCGCGGCGCGCTATCCACGTCTCCGATCGACAACGTTCCGAGCCTTTCGACGTCTTCCGCCCCGCGGAGCGGAGCGACACGCCATCCGCTCGCAAGGCGCACCGTGTCGCGAGGGCCGCCGCCGCGACACGCTAAGCAAAAGTTCCTGGCCGTAGCAACTCCGAGGTGCGCCGTGGGTGGTCCCAGGGGTGGCCCTTCCCCCTCAAGTCGGCTGCACGAGTGGGCCTCTCGTGGAAGCCCGGTCGCCAGAGCAGGCCGTTGGGCTCCGTATTTTTTCTAGGGCCGCTGGTGGATCGTCGCGTGCAACCTCTTCTGCAGAGTCCCCAGTGCCTCCCGCGCAGAGGACGAGGCTCGAGAATTCGGGCTTCGGGCGTTTTCGCTGGCTCCTGCCGGTCTCTCCGGCCTCGGGCTGCGCTCTGGCAGCCGCGCGCCCCGCCGGGAGCAGTTCCCCCAGGGCGCCTGCACGGTCCCGACAGCGGCCGCGGGCGACCCGAGCTGCGACGCAGAAGCCGGGCGACTCGACCCTCCCCCGCCCTTCCGCGCGGCTGCCAGCGCCAGTCCAGGACAGCCGCGTGGGCCCCTCCGCAGGCGGAGGCTCCTCCGGCTGCTGTGTGCTGCCCGCTCCTCTCTTCCCTCCGCCCCTCCCCCGCCTCTTCCCCTCCTTCCTCCCCCCCCCCTCCCTCATCTCACCACCCACCAAACCACCCCAACCCAACCCGAAGGCTCAGATTTGCCCTCCATTTCCAGTGGGGGGGGGTCGCGGAACATAGAAAAACCATGTATGGAACCCTTACCCCCCCCACCCGAAATTCGGGCCTTCGGGTTGGGTTAGGGTGGTCTGGTAGGTAGTCATCTCCCTCGATGGTCGGACGGAAAATTGGGCTTCGGGAAGGCGAGGAGGTGCCGCAAGCTGCTGCGTGCAGCCGGCCTCGGCCCCACCGCGGGGCGCCTGCCTCGTGCGTGGGCGCCTCCGCCGGCCGGAGGCGCTGGGGAAGCCAGCGGCAGGTTCGCCCTGTCCCCCCCCTGTCCTGACGCCTGCTTTTCTCCGAGCCGCCCCTCCCGTACGTCGACGAAATGTTGCACCACTTTTGCAGCGCATTGTCAGCTATATTGCATTGCTCCTCCCCCCCTCCCCCTGATCTTAATATTGGGCACATGGCAAAGGTCCCTTGGCGCCCCCCCCCAGGGCTCGCGACAGAATATTGCACCACCGAGCCGTTTCGATGAACCCGGGACCGCAGCCAATGTTAAGATTGGGGAAGGGGGCGGGTGGAAGCGAACATCCATTGCAAAATCGGCTTGCTTTCTTGACAACACCAGGTGTTGCAACATTTTGTCGATGTACCGTCGCTCCTCTCCGTCATTCTGCGCTCCGTGATGGCCGCGGGTTCCTCCCCCGCCCGCTCGGGGTCACAGTCGTCCCGTCGGTGCACCGCGCCGGGGGTGTCGTCGTTGGCCCCTGGTGGGCTACCCGAGACAGGGGTCAATTTCAGGTGGCTGGCGGGGTGGCGACCCAAAGGCAATTACCATGGAACGCGGAGTACCCTACGTTCCCTTCGAATTCCTTCCCGTTTCGCTTCCTTCCATCCATCCCCGGAGGATAGGAAGCGACATAAACATAGCCTTTCGAAGGGTCCGCGCGGACTTTTTTAATGGCGCTGGCGGCGCCTCTGGCGCCACCTCTGGCGCGCTCCGCGCGCCATTGCCATCGAGTGGGGACCAGCGCCGATCCTAGCAGTCTGCGCGGACTTTTGACAGTTTACGTTTATGTATGCATTGCTTTTCTTTCTTTTGTTTCCTGCCCTCCTGCCTCCCGCCCCCTCTCCGTTCCTGTCTAGCCACATTTTCTCGCCCGCATTCTCTCCGATTCAGGGCTCCGCCTCTGGCGCGCTCCGCGCGGCAGGGATGGGGACCAGCACTGATGCAAGAAGTCCGATCGGAACTCAGAAGGATTATACATCGGTCGTTGAAAGTAGGTACTGTACATCGACAAAATGTTGCACCACGTTTGCTGGGCATTGGCACCTGCACTGCATTGCTCTTGCCCCCCCCTTTCCCCCCGATCTTAATATTGGGTGCATGGCGAAGAGCCCCTGTTCCGCCCGGGGGCTCCCGACAAAATGTTGCACCACCGAGCTGTTTCGACCAGCCCGGGTCCGAACCCAATATTAAGATCGGGGGGGAGGGGGGGGACACACACGATTGATACGACAGCGATGCGATTTATTGTCGGCGCCAGGTGGTGCAACATTTTGTCGATGTACCGTATTTTTGGATTCCCAGATTCCAATCTACTTTAGGCGCCTGCAAATCATCGAGTGGCTTCCCCTCTTCCCTCCTCTTCGGGGGGCGGGCGGGGACCCAATCCAACGCCTCCCTACCTCATGGCTCTGCCTGCCTCTTCCGACCGACGGGGCGTTCCCCGACAAAACTGCTCGCCCTCGCAGGTTTCGCCTCCGCTCTCTTCGGCACCCGGTGGGCTGCTCCCGATCTTCGGCTGTCCTGCTCGCCTCCGTGGGCGCCCCGCGCTGGAGGGAGGCTCGGGAGGAGGAGGAGGAGGAGGAGGAGGAGGAGGAGGAGGAGGAGGAGGAGGAGAGGAGGAGGAGGAGGAGGGAGGAGGAGGAGGAGGAGGGAGGAGGAGGAGGGGAGAAGGAGGAGGAGGCGCAGGAGGCGGAGGAGGGAGGAGGAGGAGGGGCCGCGTGCCGAGGCTCCGCCCTCTGCCCGCCCGCGGGGCGCCTCGAGGGCGCCTCGCGCGGCAGGCGGCACGCGGAGGGGCTGCGCCGACGTGCCCGCCCGCGGGCGCCCGGCGGGCGCTCGTGCGGGTGCGGCCCAAGCGCCCTATAGGGGGGGGGGGGGGGGGCAGGCCGAGGCCTCGCTCTGTGCCCGCCCGTGGGCGCCTCGTGGGCGCCCCGCGTCTTGGTGCCCGCGCAGGGGGCGCCTCGTGGGCGCCTCGTGGGCGCCTCGTGGGCGCCGCGTGGGCGCCCGAGCGCTTGCACCACGCCGCTCCTCGACCCCGGGCGGGTCGGCCTCCCCGGGCACAGTGCAGGTTCCATGCGCTTCTGCCTCGTCGTTCGCTTCCCAGAGGAGCTCGTGTGCCATCCCAGAAAAGATATCATCGTCACCCCCGGGCGTCCCCTTCAAGTGTTACGATGCGCGCGCTCGTTTATGTCAAATGGTTACTCTTCAATCGTCCCTGCTAGAACGGTTTCCGAAGCATTTTAAGCTAGAGCGCTTCCAAACACACATGAGCACCCAAGTGTTTACCATCAAAACATATGCCAGGCTTATGACATCTCTTTGCGCGTGCACTTCCTCACCATCACCCTCACCAGCGCCAGTGCATCACAGCCGTTATCGTCATCGTCAAACGCCGCCATTGCCGCCATC